GTGGAAAAAGACCTGGGGGTTCTAGTGGATCAAAAGCTGGACATGAGCCATCAATGTGCAACTGCAGCCCAGAAGACCAACTGTATCCTGGACTGCCTCAAAATAAGTGTGGCCAGCAGACCAAGGGAGGTGATTCTGCCACTCTGTGCTGCTCTGGTGAGACCTCACCTCGAGCACTGTGTCCAGCTCTGGAGCTCCAACACAGGAAGGATATGAATCTGTTGGAGCATGTCCAGAGGAGAGCAACACAAATTATCAAAGGGCTCAAGCACCTCTCTGATGAAGACAGGCTGAGGGAGCTGGTGTTGTTCAGCCTGAAGAAGAAAAGACTCCAGGGGGAATTTACAGCAACTTTCCAATACCTGAAAGGAGCCTATCAGAAGGCTGAGGAAGATCTGTTCACTAGGGCACGTAACAATAGGACAAGGAGTAATGGTTTTAAGCTAGAAAAGGGTAATTTAGTTTGGCCATTAGGAAAAAGTTAATATGAGGGTGGTAGATCACTGGAATGGGTTGCCTAGGGAGGTGGGGGAGGCCCCATCCCTGGAGACAGTAAAGGTCAGGCTTTATGGGGCTCTGAGCAATCTGTTCTCATTGTAGAACCCCTCTTCTGGCAGGGGGTTGGACTAGATGACCTTTAGAGGTCCCTTCCAACCCAAGACATTCTATGATTCCATTATTTCAATTCCTTAAATTCTCCTTTGATAGAAGTATTATTCTAACATACAGGTAACCTGAGCATTTTTTTGCTCATTTTTTTAATTGAACAGATTTCCTAATCCAGAACACTGGCTTTGATGGGAGGCCAAGAGCATGATCCCCCTTTACGATTAGAAATATATCTTCCTTCCATCACTCAGACACAGAAAGCAGGGGAAAGAAAAGAAAAGAAAAAAAAATAATAATTTCAAAGCAGCAACACAGAGCTAAGAAGGAAAAGGAAATTGTACATTGAAAGGTTTAGGAAATATTAACTGTTCGCATTACAAAACTAGGGCTAGTAAATTATCTCACTGCTGAGATGAATTTTGCTTACAGGGAGGAAAAAAGAGGAATGTTCTTCCCTGTTCTAGTCATCCTCTTTCTTGTTTTGATTACTGTTTGTCACTTGCCAAGACATATTCTACTGGGGGTATTTTTATAGTTACACTTCATCATACGGGTCTTGACTGCCCTGATTGCTGCCAGAATCTTCAACCAGCACTCCTCAAAGCATGCAGCTGACTGACTGAAACGACATCAGATGTTATCTGGCTCTCTACAGTGTCCTTGGTGGCCTTTCATCCATTCTCTTATCTGGCCGTGACTGCTCACCTGGGGCTATGACACCTTTAGTTCTGTCCTAGGATCTCTCTCCCTCACACTGTTCTGGGTCTGGCTGCTCCCTTTGAGATGCAGCTGCCTTATTTCTCCATTTTATTACAGCTGGTTGTGCCTTTCTGATTGTTGCTCCTCATGTTATTCTTGCTGCACTCTCTCCTTCTCTGTTGATGCAGCTCTCCAGAGCTATGATTCCTGC